AGAAGGAGAAGGAGAAGAAGAAGAAGAAGAAGAAGAAGAAGAAGAAGAAGAAGAAGAAGAAGAAGAAGAAGAAGAAGAAGAAGAATTATTACTATTAGTAGTAGTATTATTCACGTGGGGAGTGCCAGGTATGGTACATACCTGTAGTCCCAGCACTGAGGAGGCTGAGGCAGGAGTATTGCCCTGAGTTCAAGGCCAGCCCGGGCTACATGGTGAATTCAAGGCCAACTTAAACTATACAGTGAGACCCTATCTCAAAAAAAAAAGTGGGGCCATGCAGTATCAGAGCACAGGGACATAAATAAAAATAGCCAAAGCTTGAGGCTGGGGAGATGGCTCAATGGAATAAGGGGCCTGAGTTCAATCCCTGGTTCTGCCAAAAAAAAAAAAAAAGCCAATAGTTTTGTTGGTCCCATACACAGATGAGGAGAGCAAGACACTGAGCCAGGCTGGAAGGTCCATGGGATCTGTTATGGTTAGTTTTTGAAGTACTAAGGATTGGATTCACTGGGAACTCAGTGGGAATTCACTTTCCCATTGAAATATATCCTCAGTTATTTTTTATTTCTTATTTTGAGACAAGGCCTTGCTAACTTTCGATCTTCCTGCCGCAGCCTCCTGGAGTGCTAGGACTACAGTTATGCACCACCACGCCAGCAACATGTATACTTCTAATGAAGGACCATAAATCTGGGGTGGGGAATAGGACAGTACTATTGAGCACACTTTCTCATATCCCTTGGAGGCACCCCCAGGTCATGGAAAGAACCCAAAGTTCTGGATATCAAGATTACCTGGGCAGTGGCTAGCTGCAGAAAGTAGCTGACCAGCTCCTTGGCGTTGTACTCAGGACTGCGGGGGTCATCCACCACAGGCTTGTCAGCACACAGCACATCCCAGCAGAGCCCCTCTGGCGGGTTGTAATTGTTGGGGAGCACACCTGGGGCCACACCAAGCTCAGAGGATGCCCAGTGGCCCAGACCTACCCTGGGTCCAAGTCTGCCCTGCCTTAGCCAGAATGGGCTTTAGAATTTTCGAGGCCCGGCACAAAAGGCCAATGCAGAGCCCTGCTCACAAATAATTAAGCATTTATCTTCTTTTTTTTTTTTTTTTTTTTTTTTCTGGAACTGGGGATTGAACTCAAACCCTTGTGCAGTGCTACTGAGCCATCCTCCCAGCCCCATGATTAAGCATCTAAAGACAGCGACAGTGGATCATTAACTCAGCCCCTCACCGGTGAAAAGGTCAGCAGCAGGGGGCTTCAGGCTGGTGCTGGCCCTCCACACCTGCTCCATTTCCCGTCTCTTCTTCCGCACCAGCTTATCTTGATAATCAAGGCGCCCAAAGAAGAAGCCATCGAAACCCATCTGGAGGTGGGGCAAAGAGACCTCTCACACCCCGGTTTGGGAAGTCTGAGCCCATGACCCTGGGAGACCCAAGGGTCATCTGGTCCACTATGGCACCATTAATGGTCAGGGCACATTCAGAAAGCGAAGCTGATAAAAGGGAGATTAGAGATTGGGAGAGTCTGAAGGCACCTGGCCAGAGACGCAAGGTGGAAAGACAGAACTCACCTTCCCATGCCCAGCTAGCTCAAAGTAGAAAGGAGACAGCCTCAGCATGGGTCAAAACAGATAATAAAGCAGGTTTTAAAGCCAGATTGAAAAAAAATTTAAAAATTAAAAAAAAATAAAGCCAGACTGGAGGTGGGGGGGTAGAAAAAAGGGGGAAAAGAAGAGAATTGAAATGTGTTGCATACAAGTACCAGTCCCCTTCAGTGAAGGTAATCATTGTATACTGCAAGTATGTACTAATAAAAGTGGGAAAATCAATCAATCAATTAATAAAACAATCAAATCAGGAACAAGAAAAAAATAATAAAGCCTGGGCATGGTGGCACATGCCTGTAATCCTAATACTTAGGAGGTTGAGGCAGGAGGATAACTGCAAGTTCCAGGCCAGCCTGGGCTACAAAGTCAGTTCAAGGACAGCCTGAACTGCATAGTGAGACCCTGTCTCAAAAAAAACAAAAATAAAATGAAGACAACATGACAGGAGAACCCTGTTCCTAAATAAATAAACCCAGATAGGGGACTGAAGTGCTGCTGAGTGGCAAAGCACTTGCCTAATAGGCACTGACCCTGGGTTCCATCCCCAGAACAAAAGAGGAAAGACAGATTAGGCATGGTGGTACACACCTTTAATCCCACCACCCAGGAGGCTGAGGCAGGGGGATTGCCAGCTTAGACTACATAGTAAACTCAAGGCCAGCCTGAACTACACACGGAGAGACTGTCTCAAAAAAGAAAATGAAAAGAAAACGGGTGTCATCTGCAGCCCAGCTGAAGGAGGAGCTAGGATTCTAGCAAAAGGTAAGAGGAGCCAGCTGTAGCAGGAGGCTTAGGTCAAAACGAAAGGAAGGATTCTTGGACTTCAACTTCCTAGAACACAAGGACCAGCAGGACCCGGTGTGGTCCCAGAGAGATTGCAAGGAAAGGGCAAGCTTGAGTGCCATAGGAATGAATCAGCGTGTGCAAAAAGGAGGGTCTGCGGGAGTTCAGGGTGGCACCTGGGCAAACAGCGAGGCCTGTTCTCTGGAGTGGCCGAAGGGGTCGATGTGCCAGGCCACACGAGGGCGCCCATCATTGCCAAATGTGTTCTCCAGGAAGCGCAGCCCAAGTGTCATCTGGTCCACAATGGCACCATAGTGAGTAGCTGCCTCGTCATTCATCACCCAGCCGCCATTGGCAAACTCCAGACGCCCTAGATGAGGAGGGGCAAAGCAGAGGCTTTAGGAGTGGGTTGGGTGTGGGATGCACCAAGGAGAAGGCCTGGCAACCCACGCCTGGATAGAGAAGGGGTACAGATTTAGCAAAGGGGGCCTAATGCAGGGCAGACTCCCCAGAGGAGCCGCTGCAGGTGGTTCCCTGCGAGAGGCACAGTTCTCCCAATCCTCTCTATATGACAAGATAAAATCTCCCAACCCCCCCCCCACACACACACACAGCAACAGAAGCTGGGCTGGGCTTCCTCTCTTCACTTCCTCAGGGCAGGCTCACCCTGGCGCACCAGGCTCCTCACGATTTCCTGTGTTGCGTTCGTCTGCTGGTGCCACCAACGGGAAAAGAAGGCCATCTCCACATAGATGAAGCGGCGGGTGGGCTCTGCCAACAAGGCAGAGATGACGGAGTCTAGGATGTACTGCACCCCTGCATGTTGGACATTATTCTGGACTGTGGACACAGGAACATGGACAGTCAGGAGCCAGCAAGAGCCCAAGCTATGCACTGCCCCCACCCTAAGGTCCAGGGCCCAGAAGGACAGAGGAAAGAGACAGGCAGAGAGAGGTAAGTGCAGTCGGGTACCAGTCCCCACCCTCTACTCACTGCCATAATAGTACTGGTCCACCGTCTTGAGCCAGCCCACATCATCATGTGTGTGGGCCACCAGGTGCACATTCAGCATGTCTGGCTGCACCGTGGGACATGTCTGCACAGGGACCCAAACATACACATACACACTGACATTGCTGATAACCTAACTCCAGTGCCCTGCAGCTAAAAGACAGGCCCAGAGGTGGGCAGGGAGTGGGAGAAGCGCAGGACCACCCTTGACCTTGGAGTGACTCAGACTCACAGAAGCTATGACTGAACCCAGCTATGTGCGGAGGACGCCTTGGCCTCCGAGGCGGGTGACACACATAGTTGTGCTCCGACTGTACAGACCCCGCCCCACTCAACCGGTTGCTTACCCGCTCCCCGCTCTAAGGTCCCACAGTTAAGTGAACGCATCCAAGCCTGAGACCCGGTGGCACGGGGTGGGGCTTGAAGAATGAGCTGCAGCCCCATCCTGGGCCACCTTGTTGTGTTAGCTGCAGATCAGAGCCATCCACGCCTCTCCCCAACCTCGGGTCCCCTTCGACTCCAGTGCGCTCCTACCGACGGGCCCGACTCACCTCATATCCAGCGGCCCAAGCGCCAGGCGTCGCCAGCAACAGCAAAAAGAGAAACGAGACAGGCGGGAGCGGCAGACCCAGGAAGCAGAAACTCATACGGCACCCCACGGGGCTCCGGCGGCGGCCAGCACCGACCCCGAAAGGTAGCGAAAGGGCACCCATAGCTCGGCCGCCACCGCAGCCTTCAGGGTGTTCCCGGGCCCGGATAAGGCAGCACGGGCGCTCCGCCCCTAGAACCTGACCTGGCCAATCGGCGCTAGGGAGGCGGGGTAGGGCGGAACCAGGCGCAAGACGGGATTTAAACTGTATCCCGCGGCAACGCGGCGATTCCAGGAGTTGGGAACAGACAGGTTGTCCTCTCCTAGTGGGAGGCACCTTTAGTATATCGCCGCTGTGGGGCTTTGGAGTACTTTTGGCCACGACGGAAGAAAGGACCGAACTTTTTCTATGGACACCGCGTCTCCCTAGGACATAAAACATGGGGTTTATGTGCTTGGGATTGTAAAGTGTTCCGTGGAACTTCAGGACTGGGGTGCTTCAGAGACACCTAGTGTGGCTAGAATCAGGAACCTTATTGTCCTATGGGGACTGGGACGTTGGGTGCACAGACTGCCCGTGGGAGCCAGGCCGGGGGGGGGGGGTGCACATCTGGGAAACTGAGACGAGTAGACTGCCGCGAGTTCAAGGCCAATTTGGGCTACATAGCAAGTTCAAGGCGAGCCTGCACTACTTACGGAGACCCTGCCTTAAAACACAAAGAAAAACTGCCCTTGGAGTGCTGGGGATGAGGCATCCAGCCTGCCGGGGATGCAGCCCTGGACCTTCCAATAAGGCTGGAGAACCTGACTCATACCCTTCCCAATTCCTACCTGTGGATTCAGTTCGCAGGCATTGTTTGCCTATTAAGCAAACTAAGCCTGGTATGGCACACACCTGAAACCCCAGAGCCCCAGAGCCAGGAGGCTCATATTATGGCTGGCTCGGCCCACCCTGGGGGCGGGGCTTGCGGGGCAGGTGGTGCTGGGGACCCAGCGAGGTCCTTGCGCTTGTCTAAGCTTGACTAAGCAGATGCTTTAGACAGCTGAGCTATTTCGCTGGCCCTCAAAATAAGAAATATTAAGAGGGCTGGGGGGCTGGTGAGATGGCTCAGTAGGTGTCTAAAGCACCTACTTAGAACAAGCTTAGCAAAGCACAGGGACCGCGGTTCAATCCCCCAGCACCACATGCCAGCCAGCCCTGCCCCCTGGTGGGCTGAGCTGGCCACACACACACACACACACACACACACACACACACACAAATAAAATTTTTTAAAAAGGCTAGGAACTAAGGTATCTACCATGGTATTTTTATTTTTATGATTTGGTCAGTTAATAAAGTATCTGCTTCCAAAGGAAAAAAAAAAAAAAGGCTGGGGATGTAGCTCAGTGCAAAGACTTGAGTCCAATCCTCAGTACCAAGAGAAGAAAGGAGAGAAAGGGAGGGAGGGAGGGAGAGAGGAAGGGGGAGGGGGAGGGAGAGGGAGAGAGACAGAGAGAGACAGAGAGAGACAGAGAGAGATATCAAGCAAGCAAGCAAAGCAAAGGGCAAGGGCCACCTGCTTGCTTACTGAAGGACAGATATCACTGTCCTGTCTCTGGCACCTGACCTAAGGCACTAGGCTTGTGAAATAAGGAAGTGCATCCCCAGAACATTCCAGACAGGGATCCCATGACCTGAAGCCCTTCCCCACCAAGCAGAGCATCCCATGAACAGAAGACAATAGTCACGGGGCAAGCCAGAGTGAAAAACTTTATTTTTAACTGGTTTCCACAAGAAAACAAATAGATATACCTAGAAACATGAGCAGTGTCTCCCCCAGCAGCAGGCAGGGGAGGGAGGCCGATGGTTTTCCTGTCTATGCCCCAGCAAAAGTGGGACCCCAGGGGAATGGCCATGCTCTATCCATCAGTTGGAGGCCCTGAGGCCATTCAGGCAAGTCTAGCCCTGCAGCTACAGTAGGTCGAGCAGCCAAAGGCCAGGCCTGGGAGAAGGTGCACAGAGGGGCCCTGGATGCCACCTCTCCAGGCTGATATCACCACGGGGGCGTCATGGGCTGAGGATTCTGCAGATAGGACATCACCACTGCAGAGATGGACAGCCTAGACAGGAGAGAGGTGTCAGTGCCAGGCACAGGTGTGTCCCCCTCCCCTTCTAACTCCTCCACTCCTCCCTCTCTAGGCCAAGCCTCACATAAAGCTGCTCATCATCTGCTTGGTGTCCTCTGAGCTCCGGGAGTTGGCAAAGCTGATGAAGGAACAGTAGACAGCGACCCAAGCACACCACTTCAGCTGGGAAAACATAGATAGACCAGGTCAGTGACACATAACAAGGAGCCCCTGAAAGCCACACTTCCCAAGCACTGGGCCCTGCCACGTCTTATTCTTGTACAGCTCAGACCTGCCTGAAGGTGCCCCCTTAGTCCCACCCCCCCACACACACACCTTTTGCTGGTACCTGATTCTGGTCCTAGTGACAAACCTCCATCGCTCTAACCCCATTAAGGCCCCAAAAGCCCCTCAGAAATTTCCACATGTTCCAGCACTCGGAAGGCTGAGGCAGGAGAATCGCTTCAAGTTTGAGGCCAGCCTGGACTACAAAGTGAGTTCAAGGCTAGCCTGAACTGCACAGTGAAACCCTGTCTCAAAAAGATCACAATAAATAATTTCTCTATGTTGCATGACAGTGCCGCACGCCTGTCATCACAGCACTCTGGAAGCTGTGGGAGGATTGTTACAAGTTTGAGGCGACTCTGGGCTACAGAATGAGTTCAAAGTCATTTTGAACTACAAAGAGTGACCCTGTCTCAAAAAGAAATTCCCACACGCTAAGAACCCTACCGTTTTCCTACGAGTCCCCTCCAAACTGCTTCACAGCCCAGATCCCAGCTCAGACCGAGCCATCACAGAACCACAGCCCCAGATCGCGGCTCTTCCCGCCTTAAAGTTTTCTCTGCCCACTTCACGCAGTCCCGACCCAACCCGACTATTCGAAAACCACGCCCCTCCGCACCCCCACCCCAATATTCCGGACCCGCTTCTAAGCCTCAGTCCCAGGCGGAGCCACAACCAAGGGCACTCAGCCCCGCCCACCTTAAGCATGAGCCCGCACATGCTGAAGATCATTCCCAGCAGGTTCATGTAGTCCGGCGTGGGGTCGTCCAAGGCGGGGTTACACTCGCTGGGCGGGGGCTTGTACCTGTGACAGGCTCAAGGGTCAGGAGCAATTGAGTCTCGCCCCGTGACAGACAAGTGCTTCCCTGCCCCGACCCATATCCACAACCCGAGGCCTGTTGCCTTGTCGCTGGGATCCTCACCTCAGCACTTTATTGGGCCTGCGTGGGTCCGACATATTGTTCGTGGACATAGCGAGCCGCAAACCAAGTCGCGCCTCTTCCGCTGCTGGAGCAGCAGCTTCCGGTATGGGCGTGGAGGGTGGCTTTCGGAGTAACACCCGCTGTCCTCACGCTTCGGTTCCCCCCGGCGAAGGCCGTAACTAACCCCAGCCAGAGAATGAGAAGCCAAACAAAGAAAACCTAGAAAATAAGGAGTAAGTGCTGGGAAAACCCCGAAAGTGATTTTTCAGTTTCCCAACTCAGTCATCAAAATGATGACATTTTGAATCCCACACGAGAAGCCGGAAATAGATCGTGGGGGACAATAATAAGGTTAGGACCAAGCGTGATTTGGTAAAGCACAGAAGTTTCAGCGCGAACAGACTCTGAGAAGGCGGCTGGCGGGGAAAAAAAAAAAAAAAAAAAGCGGTGAGAAGCGGGGCCGGAGCCATGGCTTTCCCCGAGCCAAAGCCGCGGGCACCCGAGCTGCCGAAGAAGCTGCTGAAGACGCTGGACTGCGGTCAAGGAGCGGTGCGAGCCGTGCGATTTAATGGTGAGCGCCCGCCTCTTCATCCTGGGCCCACCCCGTCCCGAGGCCGGCGGTCCGGTAACCCCCAGTAACCCGCCCGCTGTCCCCCAGTGGACGGCAACTACTGCCTGACGTGCGGCAGCGACAAGACGCTGAAGCTGTGGAACCCGCTGCGGGGGACGCTGCTCCGCACTTACAGCGGCCACGGCTACGAAGTTCTGGACGCAGCCGGGTGAGCCGGGGACTGGGCCGGGCACGCGGGAGCCGGGATCGCAGGCCGACGTTGACCTTCGGCCCCCTCTCCGCCCTCCAGCTCCTTTGACAACAGCAGTCTCTGCTCTGGAGGTGGGGACAAGGCGGTGGTACTGTGGGATGTGGCCTCCGGGCAGGTCGTGCGCAAGTTCCGGGGCCACGCTGGGGTAAGTTTGGGCCAGAGCATCTCACTGTGATTCGCGTTGTGGGGATCCGTGGGAGGACACTGGTGGCGCAGGGAACGTCCACTGACACTCCTTCGCTGCCCTTTGGAGTGGACAGGCTGCAGCCCAGCCCTGTCCTTGAAGTCCCCCTCAGAATCTGTGTGCACCCCACCCAACCAATTGTCCTTTCTTTAATCGGCACTGGGAATCCTGACTGTATCTCAATCCCCCGAAAATCCAGCCACCTCTGAGTGACAATTCCTGTTTCTCAGAAAGTGAACACGGTGCAGTTTAATGAAGAAGCCACAGTTATCCTGTCCGGTGAGTCAGGGACCTGGGCAGGAGGCCTTAGTGTCCCAAACCTCACCTCACCTTCACACTGGCCACACAGGCTCTATTGATTCCAGCATCCGCTGCTGGGACTGCCGTTCTCGGAGGCCTGAGCCAGTGCAGACGTTGGATGAAGCCAGAGATGGGGTGTCCAGCGTGAAAGTGTCTGACCACGAGGTTCTTTCAGGGTGAGTGGATCCCAGACCTTGTCCCTAGCGATTGGATACTGCAGCTATCCCTTTATTTAGGTTAAAAATCTTTCTAGGCTTAAGGTGTAGCCAAATAGTACAGCACTTACCTAGCAGGCACACAGCCCTGTGTTCTGTCCTCAGCACTACTCAAAAGACAACATGCCTGTAATCCAGTGCTGGAGGGGGCCAAGGCAGGACGATTGCAACTTCAAGTCCAACCTGGACAACATAGGCAGATCCTGTCACAAAATAAAGGGCTGGAAACAGACTCAGTGCAAAGGCCCTGGGTTGAACTCCCAGTATCACCCTCACCCCTAAAACAAGAGCTAGTCCTTGTTGTTATTACAAGGAATCGAACTCTGAGCCCTGCACTTGCAAAGCCACGTAGATGCCTGTGCTGCTGAGCTATCTCCCTGGCACAAGAGCTAGTCTTACCTTTATGCCCAAGGCTCTGCAGTCTGGTGCCTGCTGGCTTTCAGGTGTTAACTCATTCTTGGGCCTCATTTCTATTAAATATGCCAAGCATGCTCCCACCTCAGGTCATTTGCTCTTCCTCTGCCAGGACTGCCTCTGTACTATGTCAAAAGTGTTTTAAATGGGCACATCGTACTAACTACTCTTCTAGATGATAGGCATATGGCAGGGAATAAAATGAATAGGCAGAAATCTCTGCTTTTGTAGGGTTGTTCTAGTTCACACTTAGAATAGCCCCATACTTTACTAAAGCACAAAATGATGCCATCCTCACTTGAAGAACTTAGACTGCCCAACTTTTATACCTATTTCTTTCAAAATATGCACAAATACTTTGTGTGTGTGTGTGTGGTACCAGGATCAAACTCAGGACCTTGTGTTTGCAAGCAAGCACTTATTCTACTGAGCAATCTCCCCGGCCTCAAATACTATTTGAAAAAAAAAAAAAAAAAAATTGGCACACACCTGTAATCCCAGTACTGGGGAGACTGAGGCAGGAAGATCACCATACATCCAAGGCCATCCTAAGTTCCATAATGAGTTCAAAGCCAGCCTGAACTATATAGTGAGATTCTGTCTCAAAAAGCAGTAAGTTTCTTGCACTATTGAGGATGAACCCAGGGCTGCATACACACTAGGGTATGCCCCACTGAGCTTCATCCACATCCCTTTTGTTTTGAGCCAGGTTCTATGTTGCCCAGGATGATGTCAAATTTCAAATCTTCCTGCCTCAGCATCCCTAGTAGCTAGGATTACTGGCATGCTCACTTAAAGATCTTTTTGTCAGGCTTGTGAGATGGCTCAGTGGTCTAAAGCACCTACTTAGAACAAGCTAAGCAAAGCACAGGGACGGCGGTTCAATCCCCCAGCACCACATGCCAGCCAGCCCCGCCCCCTGGTGGGCTGAGCAGGCCACACACACACACACACATATAAATAATTTTTTTTTTAAATAAAATAAATAAAAAAGATCTTTTTGTCCCCCAGTACTGAGGACTGAATCCAGGACCTTGACACTGAGCTGCATGCATGCTGTATTTTGTTTTGTGAGACAATCTATGTAGTTCAGCCTGGCTTTGAACTATGCAGTGCAAGCTGGCCTCATGCACACCTCCCGCCTCAGCTAGGTGCTAGGGTTATAGGCATGCGCTACCACACCCAGTTCCCAGCCCTTTTAAAGTGTTTGTTGGCTGTTTGGGACACAGCCAGGAACCACCCAGCCCCGTTTCCTACCCCCCTAGGAACTGCTCTCTAGCAAGGTAGATAATCACCAAAGAAATAAATGCTAGAGCTGGGCACCGTTAACGTATACATGGGAAAAGGAGGACTCCCAGGGCTTGCAGGGGGCTGAGAATCTTAGAAAAGGAGGGACAAAAGATAGCCCTTTGGGCCTGAGTTTCAAAGTCAGCACCTCCCACTCCTGCCTGGGAAGAGCAGGGCCCTTCCAGTAAGAACACAGGCCATAGGTGCTGAAGCTGGACCTGTCCTCCCTGCAGCTCTGTGGACGGCCGTGTGAGACGCTATGACCTGAGGATGGGCCAGCTCTTCTCAGACTACGTGGGCAGTGAGTGGCTGGATGTAGGTCAGGTTGATGGTGGGGTGTCCAGTACTCCAGCGTCACCACCTACTGACCTCCTACCCTAGGCCCTATCACCTGCACGTGCTTCAGCCATGATGGCCAATGCACCCTTGTGTCCAGCCTGGATTCCACGCTGCGGCTTCTTGACAAGGACACTGGAGAGCTACTGGGCGAGTGAGTCCCCATGGTGGGCCTTTGTCTCCTCCCTTCCCTGCCACCCCACCTAGGGCCAGGCCTTGATGCAGGCCCCCTTCCCCCCCCACCCCCAGGTACACAGGCCACAAGAACCAGGAGTACAAGCTGGACTGCAGCCTCAGTGCACGTGACACACATGTGGTCAGCTGCTCTGAAGATGGGAAGGTGTTCTTCTGGGACCTGGTGGAGGTAAGCTGGCTGAGCCCTGCCACCCCTTGGTCAGAAAAGGGGGAGCAGAAGCAAAGTAGGAAAGATATCTGGGTGAAGGGTGCTAAAGTCCAGGGTGCATGACAGACTTCGGAAGGTGACAGCAGGATCGGAGTTAGACAAGGACTCAAGTACCAGGCTGAGCCCTGGGACCTGCAGATGAGGGCAGCTGAGGCTGATCATGAAGCCTGAGCTTCCTATGGGTCCCCGTGTGGTTTTAAGCCCCAAGCCCTGTCCATGACATGTTCCAGCCTAGTGTAGGGATCATGGAATTAAGTCCTCTAAAAGGAAGACTATGGGGAGCGTGGAGTCTTGGAGCACCAGCTCCTGCTCTGGGAACTGAGTCAGTGGGGATGTTCTGCCTGCTCCCTTTGGGCCCCTGGCCAAGAAGTTGCCTTGAAAGGAGGATACACAAAGGGACAGTTACAAGGTGCAAAGAGGAACCACAGATTGCTTGAGAAACTCCATAACTGGTCACGAGGAGAGTGAAAGTCACCTGGGCTGCTGTGGGCCTGCTGGAGTCCATCAGTGGCAGGGAGTCCACAAGCAGGTCCCAAGGAGAGAACTGCAGAGCTCCATACACCACCCAGAGCATCTGCTGACGAATGACAGGGTCAAGAGAGCAGCCCCAACACCCGAGGACGGCACTGCTCAGCAGCTCCCTTAGGGCAGAAGCAGCTACAGGGCCTAGGAGACCAGCAGAGCCAGTGGCTAAAGGTTGGGAGAGAAACAAGAGCGCCTCAGCCAGGGCTCACAGAAGGGACAGCCAAGCCACTAAGCACTGCCCTGTGCCTGCTCCACAGGGTTCCCTAGCACTGACCCTGCCCGTGGGCCGAAGTGTGGTGCAGTCATTGGCCTTCCACCCCAGTGAGCCCTGTCTACTCACCGCCATGGGGGGCAGCGTGCAGTGCTGGCGCGAGGAGGCCTATGAGGCTGAGGGGGCAGCAGGCTGAAGCCATGGACCCCCACCAGGCCAGAGAACCAAGAGCAACTGCAAGGACCCAGGACTACAGAGAGACATTTATTCCACAGACACTGCTAACGGAGGAGGATCACAGTAGTATCCTGATAAATAGAGGAGGGGAAGGCCTACGAGCTGTGTCTATTCAGTCCTCATTCTTCTCAAATGTGAACGCGTCTGCTTTCTGGGCGAAGGTTTCAGCCACCAACAGGGGGAAGACCAGGGATGCATCAGCATAGACCTATAAGGGGACCTGGGTAAGCCCCATGACCCACAGCCAGGAGCCCCTTCAGCCCACCCAGCCAGCCTCACCTTAACTGGCTGTGCATCCATTCGGATCTTGCCCCAGGAGACAGCCTCATCTGGCCGGGCACCTGAATCAGAACCATCGAACTCCTGGGCTGTGTTGATGTAGACAGCATAGTCGGCCCCATTACGCTACAGAGGAGGACAGAGCAGGCCAGTCAGCTGGTCACGGGGCAGGGGTTCTATGTGGAGGTACACACCTGTAATCCCAGCACTCAGGAGCCTAACACAGGAGGATCCTAAATTCAGAGCCATGCTGAGCTGCATAACAATTTGTTTGTTTTTTTTTTTTTTTTGGCGGAACCGGGGATTGAACTCAGATCCCTGTGTTTGCCAGTCAAGTGCTTAGCCTACTGAGCCATCTCCCCGGCCCCTTGTTTGTTTTTTTTTAATTTTTTTTTTTTTAAATGTTTATCATCATTCAAGTTTATTTATTTATTTATTTTTTATTGTGTGTGTGTGGCCAGCTCAGCCATTGGGGGCAGGGCTGGCTGGCATGTGGTGCTGGGGGATCGAACCGCGGTCCCTGTTCTTTGCTAAGCTTGTTCTAAGTAGGTGCTTCAGACCACTGAGCCATCTCACCAGCCCCTGCATAACAATTTGAAGGTCAGCCTCAGCTGCACAGTGAAACAGGGAAGCCACAAGTGTTCAACCACTGAGCTACATCCCCCAGCTTTTTTCTTTTGAGACAAAGTTGCCCAGATTGGCTGATCCAGAATTTGTAATCCTGCTTCACCCTACCCTATCGGGAATTTTTTTTTTTTTTTTTTTTTTTTTTTTGGTGGAACCAGGGATTGAACTCAGGCCCTTGCGCTCGCCAGGGAAGCAATTATTCCACTGAGCTATATCCCTGGCCCCCTCTAACAGAATTAAAAGTATGCGCCAGTGCTGAGTGTGGTGGCAGCGCACACCTGTAATCCCAGTACTTGGGAGGCAGAGGCAGAATAGCTGTGAGTTCCAGGCTAGCCTGAGCTACATAGTGAAAACTTGTCTCAAAAGACAGAAGTATGGGCCACTATGCCTAGTCAGCACTCTTCTCATCCCATCTAGTCTTTCCTTTGAGTTAGGGTTTTACTGTCTTGCCTACCTCTGCTGGCCCTGAACTCCTAGGTTCAACACCACTTCCCTCAGCCTCTGAAGGGGCTGGGATGACACGTGTGCAACACCTGACCTTATTTTTCTCCTTAGCAATTCCCTGCCACCTGTCAAGTGTGTCAACTGTGTGTTGTCTCCCCCATGAGAACCTCAGTCCAAGGAGGATCAGGATCCCGGCCTGTTTGGTCCAGTCACAGGTCTGCGAAGTGCCAACCCATGGGGGCCATGTCACTCACCATGAGGTTGGCATTGGCAATGTGGTGCTTGACCACACCACCACCTAGGATGATCATCCCCGAGCGCTTGGCGTAGATGGCCTGCATGTTGATGAGCCGCAGGTCTGGGGAAGAGGACTGTGGTCAGGCCTGGGGCTCGGTGGCCTCCCTCTATCGCTCTTCCTCCCGGGACTCCACACCTTACCTTCAATGATGTCCAGCACAAGGCCTGGGTTCTTGTAAGAATGGAAGAACATCATGTCGCCCAGCGAGCCATCTGTGAGCGCAGGGCTCAGCACTGGTATGTGGTTCTGAGGAGGGCAGGGCCAGTCAGCAACTGTGACACAGCCCACTGTCCCCATCCCAGCTGCATTCCTTCCTCCCAGCTGGTAGGGGTTAATGTTTCTGCCACGACTGTACTATAAAAATAACCCTCAAGGGGCCGGGGAGATGGCTCAGTGGAATAAGCACTTCCCTGGCAAATGCAAGGTCCTGAGTTCAATCCCCGGTTCCACCAAAAAAATAATAATAACCCTCAAAACAGATGAGGCCATGGATTTAAGAAACCTGCACATAATCCTGAGAGGATACTGATACTCTCCTAACAGTGGCTCTTGCTATTTCTGAAATGTGGGGGCTTCATAGCATCTGGGGGGCATGGTATCCTGAGCCAGGCTCCAGGGGAGTTGATAAATGGTACCCCCAAATGTACTCAGTCCCTAGTGTAGTCAGGATATTGGTATACACACACCCGTGTATAGCTTTGTGACTGCAGACGAGCCACCTAACCTCTCAGTGTTTGAGGCTCCTCACCTAAAAACAGGGATGCTGATTTGCAAGGTGACTGCGAAGAGGAAATCAGTTTGCACACCCCAGTCTAGGAACATTGGCCCCACCCAGCTCCTTACCTTTTGGGCCCAATAATACACAGATTCTGGGTTATTTATCTCTTTGCCGAGGCGGGCAATCATCCTGGAAGGCGTCCACTTCACACCCTAGAAGGGTGGGGACAGCAGCATTAACTCACAATTACCTGGACCCACACACACACTAGACAGATCCCCCCATCCCCAGGCACTTGCTCTAGCCCAACCTCTGTCTTCTGTTCCAGCACCATCTGGTCCAGAATGGGCATCAACCAGTCCTCAAACTTGCAGTAATTATCATTAGGCACCAACAGGTTCCCGATCCTTGACAAAGGCATACAGCATCAGTCTCTGGATTCCTGGGGCCAAATCCCTGCCCACCCCTCTCAGGGTCCCACCTGTTGATACCGTTCTCCCGCAGCTCCTTCCCCCTAAGGCTGAATTCACCCAGGTATGTGGGCGCCAGGCACTTGATGAGGTCCTCCTCCACACCTCCAGCCGTGGTCACCAAGATGTCCACCTGCAATCACAAACCAAGGACCTTGGCCCTCACGTGAAGCAACACTCCCAACATGAACACTCCTCCCTCTGAGGAAAGCTGTCTTAAAACAGACACATATCGTCTCACTTAAGTGCTCAACAATTTAATGCTCATTGACCCCAAAGCCAGCAGCCACCACCCCACCAGGTCCGCACCATGTTGTGCTGCACAAGGTAGCGAATGGTCTCGCGGATGCCTGAACTGATGAGGTTGGATGTGTAGCCCAGGAAGATGGTGCAGCCAGTGAGCGGGCGGTGGCTCTGGGTGAGGTCTGTGTGGTGGTCTTCATCCTGAGCCAGTGGCTCCAATTTCTTCTCGATCTGCAGTAAGGGTCGGGCCAAGTCAGGCTCTGGCCTCAAATCCCTGCCCAAGGGTCCCAGGTGTGTTCCACAGTCAGACTCCAACCAGGGATGTCTCCTGTGCGGACTCTGCCAGTCCCTTCCGCGTCCCACAGCATCTCCCTTTCAGGTCCAGTCCCCTTTCCGCTGGGAAAAACAGACCTGGCAAAGGGCCAAGGTGATTCGCGCTTCTCCTCCAATTCCCTCCCCTAACCACACGGTCTTACCCAGGCTCTGCCCATTCCTGAATGCTTTAAATTTCCCAGAATCTGACCCTACTTAGGCAAAGGATGCACTGAAACCCCCGCCTAGGGCAGGCCCCACGGGGCGGGGAAGCCCCGGCCCGTAAGGCATTCTTGAGCTCAGCTCCGCCCAGCGCGCCCTCGCCTCACCATCGCGTTGACTTGCTGCACCGCGCGCCCGAAGTTGGTGGCCTGGAAGCCGGTGGTGCCGAAGGCCTGCAGAAGCGCGCGGTAATCCACGCCACGGCTGAAGTCGTAGCCCCGGACCTGAGCGCTCTCGGGTGGCAACGCTGAGCTGTGTTTTAGCACGGCAGCCAGCGCTGCCGCGGGCGCTTCCCCTTTTGAGGAGCCCTCCATGGGCTTGCGGGCGTCCTCTCAAGGAAGCTCCCCAAACCAAGCACTCGTAGTCATCCAATAGCGCTAAGCCCTAACACGCGCCTCTGCAAAAGCACAGGAAGCAGCGCCCCGGAAAAAGCTTAGGAGAAACAAACGGAAGTTGCTCGTCACGTGGCCATCCTAGCCCTTACCTTCCGAGGGCAGCCATCCTTGTACATGTATTCCGTACTACGGAAGGGCTGAGGAGCCAATATTTTTTAGGCGCTGTTCTCCGCGTGAATCTCGGAAGATTCATTCCGGTTGCAACCTGTTGAAGACGCGGAGCTCCCGGTAGCCCTTGTCTATTCCTATCACCTAGGACCGACAGAAGAGCTTTCAAATCGTCAGGATTTAGGTCACCAGGCAACCAGACAATTTCAGCCTCTCTGAAACTGACTTGTTCATGAGACAGTGATTTTTTTTTCCTTATTGTCGTTTTCTTGTTTTCCGAGACAGAATCTCACTGTGTATGTAGTCCAGGCTGACCCCAAACTCCCATGATCTTTCTTCTTCAGCCTCCCAGTACTGGGATACTAGGCGTGCACCACCATGCCCTGCTTGGGGGGGGGGGTGTTCTGTTCCTCCTCTATCTCCAGTCTCCACGCCATACCTAACCTTCACACCCTCCTGTTGTACATCCTGCAGCAACTGAAGGTGTCACCTCCTCCAAGAAACCTTCACACGTCAGGAGCCTTCTCCAAGGTCTTGGGCTAACATTGCTTTCGCATCGCGTGCATCCTCCCAACAGTGTGCCGGGTCCAGAGGGGACACCTTGCCTCACGTAATCTACAGCCCGTGTAGTCAGTGCTACTCGCAAGGTTTCAGCCAGACAATGAGGATTCAACAATGAGCAAGACCAGGATGTGCACCGTGGAAGCTGTGCACCTGGCTGGGATAGAAAATTAGCAGTGGTGATAAATCACAAGTTTTTTAGAGGAGGGTGAGTGTAGAAGCTGGTAGTCTTACTTGGAGGGACAGGTGACCCAAGAACAATGCCAAGGAGGTGACATTTGAGCCAAGACAAGAAGAGAAACTGCGAAGATGGAGAGAGCATGCTTCCACAGTGGGAGAGGAAACAAAAGCAAAGGCCCTGGGGTAAGAACAGGACTGCTTTGTCAGAAGAACACAACTTCCTCCCTTGGCTCACATTTTTTACTACTATGCTC